CATTTTATGATAAATTTTTATAAAATTAATTATTATAGATAATCCATAAATATGAATAACAAACTAAAGAAATTACATAATAAAAAAAGTTACTAAACCCTAATCATCACGGAAGATAAAGTTAAATATCTTTATCATATCAACATAAAAAGAAAAATTTACAAAAAAGTTAAATATCTTTATCATATCCGGCCGCGGAGGCATGCGCGCCGGGGTCTGGTCGCGGAGGGGAGAAGTGGAGGGGGGGGTCTGGCGCTCTCCTTCATCCTCCTCTCGGGCCTGACGGATAGGGCTCCCGCGCTGCCCCCCTCACCCTCACCCTTCACTGCCGCCCTCACCATGAACGACCACCCCGGAGGAGCTCGCGACTGACGAGATCTAGCTAGCCTGGAGGTGCGCGCGTGCGGTTGACGAGATTTGGCCAGCCACGTTCTGAACCGCACTCCTCCGCCAACCAGAGCTCTCCATTTGGCATTTTAGAGACCCAAGCCCCATTGCTTCTTGACGCAACGACTCTAAAAACTTTCTTACTTTCCTTATCACGTCAGATCACTCCAATGACAGTTTTTTATAAGTACCGCTCCTTGTCTCTAAGATACATCTTAAGCAACTTTCATCAGAGATGCTCTAAAATGTATAAAGATATTTAATATGAAAAGTATGTCATAATGCAAATTTGTCAATAAAAATGAGCAGTTTTTATAATCTATTTTTTTAATGCATTATTTTCTAAAGAATTTTTTTATTTGTTAAACAAATTTGTAAGTTTGTGTAGCTTTATTGAATTTTTAACTAACCCCGTATACTTAGAAATACTTTTAAAAAATCATAATTATAATTATAATTAGTTTCCTACACCAACAATATTATTATTGTAAATTTTTAATTATGCTGACATGGTATTTTAATCTAGTAATAATATTTTTTAGTTTTTTATTTTATTTTATTTTTAAGAGTTTCTTAGTTCCTAATTTTATTTGGTGTTGTATACTAGGAGTATTTGCAAATTAGATTGAATTAGTTTTGAGGGAGAAAATTATTCAATCTAATCTTTTCCATTTTGTTTATTGATCATTCAATTGATTTGGTTTAAAAATCAAATCCAATCCAAGTATATTTCAATTTAGATTGGATAAAATTTTGATTTTTTAAATATAACTATAATATTTTTATGAGGCAAAAAAGTTATAATATTTTTGTTTAAAAATAATTGTTAATATCATTAATAATAATAATAATAATATAAGTCATAATATACAAAATTACAAATTGAGATAATTTATCAACATTCAATAATATGATAAAATCACTAATTTAAAAAAAAATCAATTAAATTTTATGTACTTAATAGTCAATACATTGTCACAATATAAAATACAAACAAAATAAAAAAGGCAATAGTTATATATATAGAGAAATACTTGCTTTCATTTGGATTGGATTGATTTTGTCTTTAGAATTGAAAATCGATCCAACTTAATTATTATTATTTTATTTTGGTTTTTGATTTTTTCAAGTCGATTTATGCGGTTTACATCGAATATGAACACCTCCTTAATTATTGGATACACATATAGTAGGAAGCTTTCATTTCATTTCTCTAATTTCCTACTAAACTTAGCCTGAGACCAAGTTCCAAGGTGGAAAACGTAGTTACCCCATGTAGATGCAACTACAACTTGGAAGTGGCAATTTGCTAAATGCTCATGTTTGTGCCAATGTGATAGCAGCCCAAATAAAACTTGACCCAAAATAGTGGTTGTTCAGCCCAAATGGTTTAACTACATGTAATTTGCTTTACATGTTGTCAGGTGTAAGGTAAGGTTCTTTTTACAGGACCGTTATGTTTTTTTCCACTTTAAAATGTTGTATCGCTGTTGAGCAAGCCATGAATGCAATTATATTTTTTCTTTCATCGTGATTTTTTTTATTTGGCCAATTTTAGTTTTATAGAGTGGGCATAAGAGAAGGCATCACTTTGGACTTTAGTTTGAGTTGGGTTTTGTTAGTTTAGAGGTCCAACGTATAAACAACTTAATGTTAACTTTTCTTAAAAATGATATTCATTTTGATAGTAAAAAAACCTTTGACATGTGAGATTATTGTTCTATCTAAACTTTTGAGAAAAACCCTAGATTCTTTAATAAAGAATTTTATTTCTTTGTGACAAATCTTTCTCAACTTATCAATATTTAGGGATTATAGTATTATTCTTCTCATTCATTGTCTAATTTCGTTTTTATTTTATTTCCCCTCCAAAATTTCTCGATACTCTTTGAGCTTGTTTGAATATAACCTTAGAAGTACTTTTAAGAGTTTCTTTGTTAGAAATGATTATTTATTTTTAGTAGAGAAACTTTTAAAAACACTTTTGATTTATATTCAAACAAACTCTTTGTATCAATTTGATTAGGGATGGAAAAATGGGCTGTGACCTGCGAGCCGGCCCGTTGGCCTGCCAAAAATTGACAGGCCGGGCCCATGTTTTCAACCCGCCAAATCCACCAACCCGTCGAGCCAAATGGCGGGCTGACCCGTCAAAACCCGCCAACTCGCATAAGTAATTGGACTTTAGTTGCTTGCATAAGTAATGGACTTTATCAAAAAATTTAGATTATTAGTAATTGATAAGTTAATAATTTGGTTTTGATTTTGGTGTAAGTGGACTAATTTCTATTTGATTTGTTCTAAGTTTGTAATTTGCTTTTGTTGACCATATATTATGTACAATATGTATGCATTTTTTAATTTCATATGGTTATATTTATTTGTTTGTAGCAGTTTTTTTTATTTGAACATAAAATATATTTTTTTTGTAATTTTTTTTGTAGTATGTGGGCTGGCCCGTCGACCCACCAGCCTGTCCTTAGGCGGGACGGGCCAGCGTTTCCAACCCATTTTTCATTGGCTGGCTGGCCTGACCTAACCTATTTTGGCGGGTTGGGCCAAAACGGGCCGGGCTAGCCCGTTTTGCCACCCCTAAATTTGATGCCAATAGATCCAATATGAATATCATATCCTTCATCACTTAGTTAAATTCTTGGTTATCTTTTACTTTGTTAGCTCCTTCCTATCAATTGGTGCTTTCATGAGTTTACCATGCCTATTAAAAATACTTCTTCATGAGCTTACCATGCCTCTAAACATAGCTTGAAAATCATTGGTCCATCCAAGATGCTCACCATGAATCCGGAACAACCTTATTGGTTGGAATCTTAAAACAATTTATAGGCATTGTTACTCAATTGATTATCACAATAGCATCCACAACCACAATTAGTCACCTAAATATGTCTTTTTCGATGACCATGACCACGACCATTCCACTCCACCTTCACACCTTCCAACCCCCACAATAACATTGTGTTTTCACATATGCTTCTTATATGAATTGGTGTTGATAAGCGAGGTTTTATATTGCTAGTTGTGTTTTTAGTTGTATGTTAGAATTCTAAGGGTTAAGAAATCCTTGAGAGTTAAGTTGTTGGGATTTGTTTGAGTTAAAGTCAAGTTGGACAATGAAAAGGAAGGTATTTAAGGATTTTTGGGAATAGAAACTTTGTAAGTTTCATTTTCAAATAGTCAAGAGAGAAGTTAGAGAGATGAGCTCTAGAACCAAGGAGACCACTTCTGCTTCAAATTCCACCAAGAGCATCTATATCCTTCATGGGGTAAAAACCAAGATCAAAAAGTTGATCATGAGTCTGTTTGTATAGCATGGACTTGAGGAGAGAAGTAGATCCTAGAGGGTGTTGTTGTTCTTCCTTGTTCTTCTAATTTCTAACTTTGAGGAAGTAGAATGAGGTAAAGGGAGCTTGTTGTTTAAATTCTTGAAGTTGAATTGTGATGTATATACTATTACTTCACCTATTGAAGGTTGAAATATTGAGAATTGATGATTATGTTGTGTTGAGAAGTTAGGGTTTTTGAGAGTGTCAGACCCAAAACCCAAATCCCAAAAAAGATCATTTATTGTTGTTAAATAGATTCACTACAAGAAAAAGTTAAATTTCCGACGGATAATTTTTCACGGACAAAAATCCGTCGAAAATTTCCCACGGATTTAGATCCGTCGGAAATTACCGACGGAATTTCGGACGGAATTTTAACTGATGGAATTTTCGAAGGAATTTTTGACGGATTTAAATCCGTCTGAAATTTTTGACGGAATTTCCCACGGATTTAAATCCGTCTGAAATTTTCGACATAATTTCCTGTGGAGATTGAGATGAAAAAAGCACATGGTCCCACTCAGCACCGCGTCCCACATTATGTGTATTGTCTGTTTCTGAAGTTAGTGTAAAAAATGAATTTTTGCGTGTGAGCTTATGATTGGTGAGTCGTGCCTAACTTTAAAGCAATTTATTTTATTGAGATCATGAACGCACAATCTGTGTGAAGTCAGATGAGGTGTGCATGGAAAGTGTGAGATGAGAATGGAATATTTTACTAGTTTTATTCTCTTACAAGTTGGTAGAGCTATAAATCATCATATTAATAGTGCCTAACAGAAAACATTTAGTGAGGAGGGAGAAAAACCCATACATTGTGCACAGGATAAGAACAGAACAGAGAGAGAAAAAAAAAAAAGTAGAATCCAAACATGGCAAAAGAATACTCAATATAAACAAGATGTGACTTTCATAATGATAAGCATTATGTAGGTCATTAGGTCTTTTTATTAATGAAATGACTAAATCAACCAGGCATAATTTGTGTAAATCTAAAAATAATAATAAACTTTTATAATATTGTATATAAATCATTATTTAGTTTATTTACTTTATATATACTAGTAGGTTAAGACATTTTATATTTTTACATTTTTTTTAATAAAAGTGTTTAAAAATTATCAATGTTTATTAAATTAATTAATGTTGAATTTGATTTTCAAACTTTAAGATTTCAGATTCAAATCTTGTGATTGTAAAGATAATTAATTCTTAATATTCTTTTTTATTATTTAAAATTTAAAAATTTAAAAATTGTCTAAAAATATAGATAGCTGAAATTCACTGAGGTTGGCATCTTCATTAGGCCCTGTCTTCCTGATCTTTACAGGGTCTGGAAGTGTCTCTGCACCAAAATAACACCAGCACGAATCAACAAAGTGAAATATATGATCTGGTGAATGTCGTTTGCATCTACTTCTGTTATTTGTGAGCATTCAAAGGTTATAGAATATAAGAACAAAGTGCAAGGGAAGGGCCATGTGAGTTAAAATCAATTACTTAGCAGTTCAACATTGGTAAATGGTAACTAATTAGTTGATCATGTAGCTATGAAGCTTTATGGTTGCATATGGATGAATGCATGATTTGTGGGTACTGGGTAGTATTTATTCGATAATCTATCAAAAGAGGATTTTTTTGCTTATTGATACATAAAGTGAGATCATAGTCCAATTAGTTGATCAAGGATACTAACCTGGGCAATCAGTCCTTGGTTCTTTCCTGGTCTGAACAATGCCCTCAAAGGTTCCAGCCCAAGCATCTCTCTTGGTCAGGAATGAAGGCAAGTTAAAGAGTTTTTTTACTGTTGCTGGAATAGATGAGTGTTCATATTCCGATGTAGGAGACGGTGACCCATTTGGCCCATGCACAACTGTATCACCATAATAACAAATCAGAAAACCTTGTACAGTTACCAATAAGTTATAGCTTTGCTTAGGAGAGAAATGAAATTCATTAGTTCCATTCAGGTGGACACTAAAATTATACCAATATACTGTTAATTTCAGCAAAATGCCTACATGCACCGTTAATTGTTTACTCACATGTTTCATTAATTTTTTTATTATAATTTCTTAAGTTTTCCTCTATTGTTTATGAATAAATAATTAATATTAAGAATTTTCCTTAAGATAATTTAAGCAATTATAATCTAACTTATTAACCCATCATATTATTAACTAAGAGAGAATCATCTCATTCAACTTTTGTTGTCCTATTTGTCTTGAACTCATGATAGAGCCCAGAAGTTTCCTCCCTGGCTGCATGTCCATAACTAACTAGAGGATCCTGTATTTCATGTAAGGCACCAAAACTCAAGAGCTTTTCTATCAAATTTTGGCTTTCAGCTTCAGCATATACCTTTGTACCTAAAAATAATAACTGTTTTCCCCTGCACAAGCCTTACTACCTTATTATCAATTTATATCCCCCTATTGCTATCTTTTCAACACTAGAACACATATTTCAGCCCACTTCAAGATTTTATTTTGTTTGTTTTTTAATCATAACCTACAGCACATGGTGATATATCAATTTAATATTTCAGGAGTGATGTATTAATCCACCCAAAACACCTTAGATAGCACATTTCTGAGCCTTAACCAATAAGTCAACAATCCATAATGATAAGATTTGGATCTTCATCACATAATTTCCCTGCATTATTGGTCCCTTGGTTTTGCTATAAGACATGTAGCAACTACTTTACTTGCACACTATGAACTAGCAAATTCAAAGATCAGTTTCTTTTCTTGTGGGTGTGTGATTTGTCATTGTTAGGAAATATCCACACTAACAAGGTTTCACATTGTGCTAGTTTACAACTGGAGATTGAGATGAAAAAAGCACATGGTCCCACTCAGCACCGCGTCCCACATTATGTGTATTGTCTGTTTCTGAAGTTAGTGTAAAAAATGAATTTTTGCGTGTGAGCTTATGATTGGTGAGTCGTGCCTAACTTTAAAGCAATTTATTTTATTGAGATCATGAACGCACAATCTGTGTGAAGTCAGATGAGGTGTGCATGGAAAGTGTGAGATGAGAATGGAATATTTTACTAGTTTTATTCTCTTACAAGTTGGTAGAGCTATAAATCATCATATTAATAGTGCCTAACAGAAAACATTTAGTGAGGAGGGAGAAAAACCCATACATTGTGCACAGGATAAGAACAGAACAGAGAGAGAAAAAAAAAAAAGTAGAATCCAAACATGGCAAAAGAATACTCAATATAAACAAGATGTGACTTTCATAATGATAAGCATTATGTAGGTCATTAGGTCTTTTTATTAATGAAATGACTAAATCAACCAGGCATAATTTGTGTAAATCTAAAAATAATAATAAACTTTTATAATATTGTATATAAATCATTATTTAGTTTATTTACTTTATATATACTAGTAGGTTAAGACATTTTATATTTTTACATTTTTTTTAATAAAAGTGTTTAAAAATTATCAATGTTTATTAAATTAATTAATGTTGAATTTGATTTTCAAACTTTAAGATTTCAGATTCAAATCTTGTGATTGTAAAGATAATTAATTCTTAATATTCTTTTTTATTATTTAAAATTTAAAAATTTAAAAATTGTCTAAAAATATAGATATCAAATCATCTTCTTTTATATATGTTATAGATACCTATATATAAAGGAAATTTCCTTTAGTGTAAACTTTATTTAAGACAATTTTAATTTTTTGAATAATAACCTTTTAAATAAAAATAAAAAACTATTAAATAAAAGTTATGAAAGATTACAAAAATCATCATATATAACTAAGGTGAAAGAAGTACTTGGTATCTCTAAATATTTTTAAAAAAAAATAAAAAAAAATATATTATAGTATAAGCAATTATTCAAAGTTGATTAATGATGATTACTATTTTTTTAATAATTGAGAATATAATCATCACAAATTGTGAAGACAAAAAATAATAACAAAAGAAATATTTTCTTTATACATTAATACAGATTAGTGTTGATAATATACTCCATATTTATTTGTTGTTAATTATTAATTTGTAACATTAGATACTCTATATGCATGCTACTAATTATTGAGTATTAGATATATAATATAATAATAATCGTAATATAAATAATAAAATAGTAGTAATGTTTACTATACCTGTGCCCTTTTCGATCCAAGGTGAGATAGCAATAGTGGGAACCCTGACTCCCAACCTATCAAAGGTGAAGTTAAAAGGCTCGGGGCCCACAATCCCATCAGGGCTGGGCACCCCACGCACGGGCGTGGGCACGTGATCGAAGAACCCACCATGCTCGTCGTACGTGATGAGGAACAGGGTCTGGTTCCACTGCGGGCTCGCCCTCACCCGGATTCTGGCCGTCTGTAATAGCAAATTTTCTTGTAGTGATTCATGTTGAACCTAAAGCTAGAATTGAGCTTTATGAGTAGTTTAGAATCACAATGTTTGATTGCATGTTGATTTTGGAGGTTGAATAGTGTATGCACCATGGTGGTATAAAGCATGCTCACTCAACAAAATGTTTCTTGCTAAGGGAGCCTTCATAAGTTGAAGGTCAACCCATATTTTAGGTTTCACTCAGTGAAAGTTAGCGTTCATGATAAATAGGATGAAGCTTCGTTGACTAAGACATAGTCATAAACTGAGTTTTGATCACTAGATGACATGTTATTTTCGCTCAATGATCCCTAATATATGGATTAAGGGTCTTTCTTTTTGCTAAAAGATAGGGATAGAAATGAGATGGGGTGTGTGTAGTTTCAATATCCATATTCTCATCCCCATCCCCAAGTTCGTTCCTTATATACATCTTTGTCCCCATACCTGGCGAGTGTAGAATTTGTGTCTTATCCCTGTCTCCCGTGAAGTATTGGATATACCCATACTTGCCCTATACTTGTACAAAAGAAAAATTAAATATTTTTTGGCAAAAATATATAAAAATAAAAATAGGAATTCTAACATAGAGTAGCAATTACAAAATTAAATTAATTAAATTTTATTTGACATAAATTTAAAATAGTATAAGAATTACATAAATCTCAAGTAAATTTTAGAAAAAAGTATATTCAATTTCTAGAAATGTAAAGTGAGGATAGATACGAGACAAATAAGTATATATCCATCCTCGTCCCCAGACTTGGTTTAATAAATTGGGTATTACTCTTAATTGTACTCATGCTTAGTCAAATCATGTATTTCCTATTAAAGTTGGGGCGGATTAGGACATTACCTACAGGTATAAATTTATTTATCATTCCTATTGAGAAAGATGGATTCACTAAGTGAGAGGTAACCTGTAAATAACACGAGTTCTCAAGGACGCCAAGAAACATATGATGTCTAAGTGAGGGTGGAGCTCTAGCAAGGCCCCATTTTGTTAGGTTGCTTAGTAAGGGCAGTCTCATTGAGCAAGAATCCTCCTCTTGAATTTGAGTCGCTCAACAAAAGCCCTATGTTGGAAATCTTTAAATTAGATGGTGTACTTTGTTGAATGATGTTTTAATGTTGTAAGATTTTTTTATGAGTTGTGTAAAGATAACTGATGATTATTGATTTTAAGTTGTGATTAGTTATGGTGAAAGTTGTGCGTGGAATAAGTTGCAAAAGTTGTAAGATGTGTATTGTTGTTTAAGTTGAGTTGTACACATGTTATGAATGTTATAGTTGAAAGTTGAATAAAAGCTAGAGAAGATGAAAAGTTATTTTATGTCGAAAAGATTTCATTATGTTGATTTGAGTTGTGGTACTTTGAAAGCTTAGTTTTGAAAAATCTTTTGTGAAAGAGTCACCTACTTAAGGGAGAGTTGTTTTTGAAAGTTATCTCGTTTAGGAAAGTGTATGTGAACGATTCAGTCCACAATGATGATGCAGATCGAAAGGAATTTGGACTGCTGAAGGAACATTTGGGACATCAGCAATTTGGTTTCACTGAGGAACAATATCAAGGCTTAATAGCACTCTTGCAGCAGTCACAAATTTCTAACAGCAGTCATGTGTCAAACCAAGTCTCGGCCACACTTGGACCTTTTGATCATTCTGGACAAATTGGTAATACCTCTTCTTCTTTTAGTTCTTGGGTTTTGGATAGTGGTGCTACTGACCACATTTGTTACTGTTTGTCTCATTTTACCTCTTACCATAAAATTAAACCCATTCATGTCACATTACCAAATGGAAACAAGGTTGTTGCTAATTATTCTGGTAATGTGTTTTTGACATTAGATCATGTTCTTCATAATTTCTTATACATTCCTAGTTTTAGTTTTAATTTGCTATCTATTGGAAAATTAACTGCTAGCCTTTCTTTTATTCTCACATTTGATTTTACTCATTGTCAAATACAGGACAAGATTACCTTGAAGACGATTGGTATAGCTAACATTCTTGATAGCCTTTACATACTCAGGGTCCCTTTTTATCAATTGTTACCATATACTTAGAATCCATCCCATACAACCACTGTTGTTAACTTGGCTTCTATTGATGGTTCCACTCTTTGGCATTTTCGTCTTGGTCATGTTTCAAATAAATGTCTTGATGTGATAAAGGGAAAGTTCCCTCATGTGAACCATGAAAAATCTTATGTTTGTGACATTTTCCATTTAGCTAAACAAAGAAAACTTCCTTTCCTTGTTAGCAATTCTATTTCAAATAAATGTTTTGATCTTATTCATGTTGATTTATGGGGACCTTACTCCATTCCATCTGTTCATGGAAACAAGTACTTCTTGACCATTGTTGATGACCATTCATGATATACTTGGATCTTTCCTTTAAAGCTAAAATTTGAAACATAATCTTTCCTTTAAAGCTAAAAAATTCTACAAAATTTTGTTTCATTGATTAAAACACAATTTGATTCAGTTATAAAAGTCATAAGAAGTGATAATGGAACTGAGTTTTGTATGAATGATTTTTATGCTTCTAAAGGAATAATTTATCACACTTCTTGTGCTTATACCCCTGAACAGAATGACATTATGGAGAGGAAACATGGTCATTTATTGAATGTAGCCAGAGCTCTGATGCTTCAATCTAATTTGCCAAAAATATACTGGTCATATGTTGTTATCCATGCTGCCCACATCATCAACATGTTACCTACTCCAATTTTAAAGAATTCTTCCCCACATAAAATGCTTTACAAATCTGAACCCGATTTTTCTCAATTAAAAGTTTTTGGTTCATTGTGTTTTGCAAGTAGCTCTCCTATTCATAGAACAAAATTTGATCCAAGAGCATGCAAGTGTGTTTTTCTTGGTTTCAAGACGGGGACTAAGGGATTTGTTTTGTTAAATGTTCAGACTAGAGAATTGCTTGTATCAAGAAATGTAATATTTCATGAACTCGTGTTTCCTTATTTTGATTTGAAAATGAAAAATGATCAAGTTAACAACATTCCCCAAGAACAGGGTCATTCTTCAATTTTAGACCTTGAACCAATCACTTGTACTCATCATCCTACTGATGATGGGACTAATATATCTTCTTCTCCTCAACATCCAAACACACACGTGGCTGTTTCATCCAATGAAGATAACCCTGCTGATATTGCCATACCAATCTCTAATATTAGAATGGGAAGACCACCTGGGTATCTAAAAGACTATTATTGTAATGTTAGCACTATTTCATCTTCACCAAATTTTTATCCAATTTCTTCTGTTTTATCCTATAAATGTCTGTCACCCACTTACACATCTTACATCATGTCTTTGTCTTCTCATGTTGAGCCAAGGGATTATAATGAAGCTGTTATACATGACTGTTGGAAGAATGCTATTCAAGCTGAACTATTGGCTCTCAATGCAAATCAGACCTTCGGCTAGCCTCCTTCATTCTCCACCCTTGGAGAGTGAAACCCTAGAGTGGCCTCCACCTATACTTGGAGTGAGCCAACCTTGAGCAACCAAACACCATTCACCTAAACACTTCCGCCACCCTAAACCTACTTCACGCCCATCTTCCTTTTCCCATCATAAGTCACCTTTTGTCTACCCTTTGGTGAGCCTAGATCAAGGGCAAGGTCTCCCCCCTTCACACTCTACATCAATCATGGAAGGAGGAAGCCATCAGGTTTTTAAGATGAAAATAGTATGGGGGTCAAGTCAAGGTATACATGAAATAAGTGGCTAAGAAGTAAGGCATAGAGTCGGAGGCCAAAATCCCTAATTGAGTGTTGGAAGGATGCATGGTATGTACTTAGAGGATAAACGATGGGTTAATTCCATTTAGGGCTTGGTTGATGCATGTTAATGTTGTGGCAAGCTCACACCTAAGCTATATTATTCCTTACGATAGTATTAGACCTTCCTAGTTTAAGTTGTGAGATATGAGAAACCAAAAGTTGTTTCCAAACATTGTTTTTTGACATGATCTCAATAAAGGGTATCCGTTGAACTAACTTGACCCATAGATGAAGGTTCAAATGTTATGGTTTGGTAGGGGTAAGTCATTTAAACTACTCATTGCAACACCTTACTCATAATTCTCAACTTAATTATTTATATTTATTTCATAAATCAACCTAGTTATGGGATTCACTTTTCAAAAATAATGATTTTTTAAAAAATAGTTAATATATAACAAATTATTTGTCGAGTAGTATTTATATTCCTATTATAGAATTTGAAATTTTCTCTGCAAATTTTATTATAAAATTCTTATCATTTATAATTTAAATTTTGAAACATTACCAGGTAAAGAAACGACATCATAGTTAGATCTATTCACACAAAAAGTGATTTTGGTACATCAAAATTATATATAACTGATATGAAATCTAGATGAAGGAAAATTTTTATTTTAATACATATTTTCCTTCTTACTTATACTAACAGATTCACATCCCAGATTGATATAAATTTACTATAGGATTGACATGGTTAGAAGGAGGTAGGTAGTATCTGATCACCATGGAATCATCAATATATATCAGAGCTTGTTGATTTGGTGAAAATACAAAGTGTACTGTCCGTACTACGTAACCGAGCTCCAAGCTCGGCACTACAACGCAAGCCGACCTCGGACGCGCGCCGCGTGACATCAGCTCAGTATGTAGGTGAATCATAACTGATCCCCGAGGATCTCGCCCCAGACGAGATCCATTATCTAATCATGTTACACTTCATCTCAGGCCCAAGGCCCAAAGCAACCCTAAATCACACCAAGGTACGTGCATTACATATACGAGACTACTACTCATGCAAACCCTAACTTTAGCATCGGAGTCTCTTTTGCAGGTACCACCCCCATCTTGGAGCACCAGCGTACCCGTGAAGGAGGCTCACCGATCTTACCTGGCAGATCAGCTCTACACCAGATTTCCGGTAAGAAAATTTGGCGC